AAATAGAAAAATGGGACTTAATCAAAATTAAAAATACTTATTCTTCAAAAGACATTATCAATATCATTTTTCTAGATTCCATACATATGCACTAATATACTATATTTGCTTTTCTCTTTCTGACTTACTTCACTCTTTATTATAGGCTCTACATTCACCTACCTCACTAGGACTGACTCAAATTCATTCTCTTTATGGCTGAGTAATATTCCATTGCATATATGTACCACATCTTCCTTATCCATTCATCAGTCAATGGACATCTAGGTTGCTTCTGTGTCCTGGCTATTGTAAACAGTGCTGCTATGAACACTGGGGCACATGTGTCTTTTTGGATTATGGTTTTCTCAGAGTATATGCCCAGTAGTGGATTTGCTGGGTCATATGGTAGATTTATTTCTAGTTTTTTAAGGAAGCTCCATACATTTCTCCATAATGGCTGTATCAGTTTACACTCCCACCAACAATGTGGAAGGGTCCCTTTTCCCCCGTATTCTCTCCAGCATTTGCAGGGAAGGAAAGGAGACACAGATGTAGAGAAGAGACTTGTGGACACAGTCGGGGAGGGAGACAGCGAGAAGAGTGGAGAAAGTAGCATCGACATACATACACTACCGGGTGTAAGATGGATAACTGGTGAGAAGTCTCTGTATAGCACAGGGAGCCCAGTCTGACACTCTGTGATGACCTGGGGGGAGGGGAGGGAGGCTAGTAGGGGAAGGGGTGTATGTGTCATTATGGATGATTTGCATTGTTGTAAGGCAGAAAACGACACAACATTGTAAAAACAATGTTTTAAATATTAAAACAAAAGACATTATCAATAAAATGGTAAGATAAGTTATAGACTTGGAAAGATATTTTCAAATCATGTATCTATGAAAGAACTTGACATAGAATATAAAATACTTTACAAATCAAAACAAAAAGATAAATAACCCAATTTTAAAATGGTCAAAGAATCACATAGATTTTTCACCGAGAAGCTATAGGAATGTTTAATAAGCATATGAAAACATGCTTAGCATCATTCATTATTAGTGAAATCCAAATCAAAACCAAGGTGAGATACCACTTCTGACCCACAAGCATGGCTATGATTTTAAAAATAGATAACGTCAGACTTCCTTGGTGGCACAGCGGATAAAAGCCCATCTGCCAATGCAGGGAACCTGGGTTCAATCCCTGGTCTAGGAAGATTCCACATCTGCTTATCTGCAGAGTAACTAAGCACATGTCTGCAACTACCAAGCCCGTGCTCTAGAACCCATGAGGCGCAACTTTGGAGCCCACACACTGCAACTGCTGAAGCCTGTGCGCCTAGAGCTCACGCTCTCCAACAAGAGAAGTCACCGCAATGAGAAGCCCGTGCACCACAACAAGGAGTAGCCCCTACTCACCACCGCTAGAGAAAGCCTGTGCAAAACAATGAAGACCCAGCGCAACCAGAAGTAAATAATTTTTTTAAAAAAATAGAGAATGTCAATTGAAGAATAAGAAGAAACAATAATGTGGAAAAAACAAAATATTCACTCAGTACAGGTAGAGAGCACAGCCACTTTGGAAAACAGTTAGGCAATTTCTTAAGTTAGAGATAAATTTACCATATGACCCAACAACTTCACTCCTAGCTCTCCACCCAAAAGAAATGAAAACATACATCCACACAAACACATGTATGTGAATGTTCCTAACAGCTTTATCCATAATAGTACAAAAAGTGGAAACATCCCAACTATCAAGTGGTGAAAGAATAAACAGAATATGGGATATCAATACAATGAAATAGTATTCAACACCTAAAAGGAATGAAATACTGATACATGCTACAACATAGATGAATCTCAAAAGTATGTTATGCTAAGTAAAAGAAGCCAGACACAAAAGACCACACACTGTATGACTCTATCTATAGGGTGTTCAGAAAAGGCAAATCTATAGAGTCAGAAAGTTAATTAAAGGTTGTCTATAGCTGGGGTAAAGAATTCACCTGCAATGTGAGAGACCTGGGCTCAATCCCTGGGTTGGGAAGACCCCCGGGAGAAGGGAAAAGCTACCTACTCCGCTATTCTGGCCTGGAGAATTCCACGGACCATATAGTCCATGGGGTCACAAAGAGTTGGACATGACTGAGCGACTTTCACAGAGCTGGGGAGCGTGAATGAGGAGTTGCTTCTAATGGGTACAGGAGATCTTTTAGTGGGGATAGAAATGTTCCAGGGCTTCCCAGGTGACACTAGTGGCAAAGGACCCACCTGCCAATGCAGGAGACTCAAGTTCCATCCCTGGGTCAGGAAGGTCCCCTGGAAGAGGGCATGACAACCCACTCCAGTATTCTGGCCTGGGAAATCCCATGGACAGAGGAGCCTGGCAGGTTACAGTTCACAGGGTTGCAAAAAGTTGGACACAACTGAAGCAACTTAGCACACACACACACACGCACATACACAAACGCAGAAATGTTCCATAATAGGATTATGGTGATGGTTATACAGTTCACAATTTTACTTAAAATAGTTGAATTGTATATTTAAAATTAGTTAATTTTATGACACGTAAATTTGTTTTACAGCAAAGATGTTTGAAAATAAAACAAAGGTAATAATGTTCTGACCCCCATCTGCCTTCCCCTTTATCTCTCACTGTCTACCTGGTTTCTTCAGTTCCACTCATTGACTCTGAACTCTTGTTCTACTGGTTCTTTGGCTGAAGGCAATTCTCAGAGAGATACTAGCCAAAATCTACCAGCCTCCAACATTTCCAAGAGCTGGGGGAATTAGCTCTTCAACCCCAACCTTGGAGGGGATAGGAGGTATAAATGCCCACTTGCAGCATCACTACAGCACGCAAAACTGTACAATGCACTTTGAAGACCTCAGATAGGCTCCGTGGGTCTCAGTAAGACCAAGGACCTTTAGCTAGTGCTGATAGAACGAGATGCTGTAACCCAGCACCTTTCCTAAGCAAGGGTGTTGGAGGCATTGGGAGTCAAGTCCCAAGTGACAAGAGGAGAATGTCTACAACACAGGAAGAGGGAGAGACCTGAAGGAGGGTGTCAAACCCACTCTTATAAAGCATCACTCTCAACAACTGTTGGCAATTTAAAAAAATCTTTTCAAGCACTTGTGGCATTTCACTAAGACAGACCATTTGCACTGAGCCACCAAACAACTTTCAATAAATATCTGAAAATCAAAATCATACAGACTATATACTCTGACCACTATAGTATTAAATTAGAAATTGATAACATTATCTAGAAAATCTCTGGTTTTAGACATTTAACAACATGCTTATGAATAACTCATGCATTAAGGAAGAAATCACAGGTAAGCCAGATAATATTTTTACCTGAAAGGTAACAAAACTGTTAAGTGACTTCCCTGGTGATCCAGTGGTTAAGACCCTGTGCTTCCACTGTAGCATGCAGGTTCAGGCTCTGGTCGGGGAACTAAGATCCCACATGCCTTCAATGTGGCCAAAAAAAAAAAAAAAAAAAACACTGTTGGTTGCAGGTAGTATGGTACTTAGACAGAAATTTGTAACTTTAAATGCAAATGCCCATTGTCAAAAAGAAGAAATCAAGTATCTAAACTTTGACCATAAGAAACTTGAAAAAATATAAATTAAGCACAAAAGCAAGCAAATAATTAAAACAAGAGAAATTAATGAGAGAAAATGGATAGGCAATAGTGGAATACAATAGTAACATTTTCTGTACACAGTGTACAAAACTTGATTTTAGATGAATTCTATATTTAAATATACATCCAGAATGATGAAGACTTTACAAGAAAAGTTAGGAGAGTATCTATCCACTAAATATCAGAGTGTAGCTGTTTCAGGGTAGGTTGGAAGGGTGGGAATTGACTGAAAATGGGCAGGAAAGAATTTTCTGCAGGGAAAAAAACATTCTAGATCTTGTTTTGGGTGGTTTCTTACATAGCTGTACATAATTGCAATGGTTCGTTGAACTAACATTTCAAATCTGGACATTTTAATGCACGTAAATTACACCTCAATCTTTTGACAATATCTTGAGATGCTGATGGCAGTGGTATTTGGACATCTCTGGGGTATAAGCTTCTGAAGCATATAAGCATCATCTGTTCAAGAATCTACTGAGAGTGTTTTTGCAAACAAAATGTGGGTTGAGTGCAAACATTCATAATAAAAGCTACTATGGCCCACAGCTACAGACCCCTACTGTTGGAGGCATGCCCATCAAACTGAGAAGGCATCTTGGGAAGGAAAAATGAAGCAGGCAGCTCCATGTAATCATTGGATCAGTTTATCAGAATGTAACTTACAGAGTAGGGTTTGGTGGACAATGATCCAGAAGCATTCACACATGTACTCAGCACTGCTGAGGGGCCATGGGGACAATTTTATCACTAACCCAGGGTATATGGGTAGGTGCTGGGAACACCTGCATACAAGACATACATTCCTAAGTTAGTATTTATGAAAGAGTAACTAGTTTCATGGATGCCAAGAATACAAATAGTTTCACTGTTGTTTGGGACTAACAGAGCATAGAGCCCATTTGACCCTAACAGTTATTATACAATATCTATTGCACTTCCCAGGTGACTCAGTGGTAAAGAACCCTCAACTCTGACAGAGGAGACAGTGGGCTACAGTGGATCCACCTCACCCCACGCCCTCCAGATGTATTTGCTGCCCAAGGCAACAGTTCATATTGCTGGAGATTTCTCCCCGTCCAGTTTAAGGTCACAGATTGTGGGTCCCAGGCAACAGACACTGCCCGGAGTCCCGCTGAGGGTAGAACCAAGCATCTTTATCGCGCTGTGGCCTCGAAGCTTGCTGTCTCTTCCTATGTCTTGGGGGAATGAGAGATACAAGGCAAAGGTCACTACTTCTTGGACAGGAAGTGAGGAGAGGTGAGCAATGAGTACACCATAAGAGTTCAAGGCTGAGTGGGCTGAGTCAGAGGCAGCAGCATATAAAGCTCTCTCCAGTCCCGTCTTTGGGCGATCTGGAGATCAGAACCCGGGTGCTTTCATCTGGCTTGCCACAATCTGACAGGTTAGAGCTTTTTCACTTTCTTTCTGCTACTCCTGGGAGGGAGGCACAAGGGACTTTTACAAAAATGGAAAAGGAACACCGTGTGTCTTTATGAGCGTGGAATCACTTGAACTCTCTTTTGGGCTCTCTTCAGCATCGTCCTCTCGCCCAATCTGCCCCCCCCCCCCCCCCCAGTGCTTTCTGGTTCCTGGTGAGCGTTTCTCAGTGCCCAGGTTTGGCCATGGAAGGGTGGAGCTGCCTTGTGACCGGAGGAGGAGGATTTCTGGGCCAGAGGGTCGTCTGCTTATTGGTGGAGGAGAAGGATCTGCAGGAAATCCGGGTGCTAGACAAAGTCTTCAGACCAGAAGTTCGGGAGGAATTTTCTAGTAAGTAAGCTCGAGTCACGGGAGTGTAGCTCCCTTTGAAGACCTACGTGGGTGTGGGGGAGGGGTTCTTTCTAGCAGTTTAAGGAAAGTTGTAGCCAAATCAAGGCTAATCCTGTTATCAGAAAGGAAGATCACAGATGGGGTAATACCATGGTATAATCACAGGTATTGTCAGAAGATGGGGTAGGGTAATACATGGTGTAGTCCCAGATGGGTCCAAGGTCCCAGCCCAGGGTGAGAGGGTGGGCCATGGACCAGACACTTACAGTCTGTTCTTCTTATCTAGAAAATCATGTTTCCGTTTTCTCCCTTGTCCACGAGGCTTGCTACTTGTTGTGCACTGTCTGCAAAGGGTGAGCCAGTGCTGTTAAGCTGGAGATGCCACCACTGGGATCCAGAGCTTCTTGATTGCCCTTGTCTTTCTGTGGCTTCACTGAGCATCTCTGTTGAAGGTGAAATAGAAGGAAGAGAGGGTGAAGTGTGTGAGTGTGTGTGTGTGTGTGTGTGTGTCTGTGTGTCTGTGTGTCTGTGAGTGTGTGAATGAGAGAGAGAGGGAATTAGAGAAGGAGCCAGAAAGAGCGGGGAGGAGAGGATGCACAGGCATGCAACAAGGGAGCCAGAAAAAGAACTAGAGGCAGCGTGAATGCAGACACGCCTCGCGTGGATTCCCTGTGCGTCTCTTTGTACTATTCGCCTCTCTCCTCATTATCACAAGGACGTGACTACAGAATCCACTAAAGCAGCTCATCGCTCTCTTTCCTGACTGCTGCCCATGATGCCAAGGCAAATGTTTGATTTATAGTGTATTTTCCAACCTGCTTTGCTCCTAGATCCTCAAAATAACCTTGTGAGGAAGGTAGGAGAGGGTAACACCCACCAGGACAATGAGGAATTGAGGTCAACAAAGGTAAAGCGACTTGTCGAGGTCTCTGGGATTGATGGGGAGCAGAGATCAGATGAGCCCCAGTCAATGCCCCGAGGGCCAATTCTTGACAAAGTGAGGCTTTAGTCTCTCCCATTTCCTGCCTGTGTGCCCCCAAACCAACTCCTTGTCTCCCCTCCTCAGCCCTGGTGGATTGGCCATCTCTACACAGGCCCTGGCTGCCCAGGACCCCCCTCCCCACTTAAAGTCTCCCTCCCCAGCTCACTCTCCTGGACCCTGCCCATCACTCTGTTCTCCTTTCCCCTCCCCGACCTCTGCAAACATCCTGTTTCCTCCGCCCTCTGCTCCAACTGTGTCTTTGATTGTTTTTAAAAAATTCTCAGATGATGAACACCAACCTTTTGTAATCCCTGCTTCCCAGCAATATATGCAGGCTGATGACTTATGCCCAGAGAGAGTGATGCTCAACCTAGCGGAACAGCTCCCAAGGTGAATGAGTCAGGTGCAGTTGTGGGTGGGCAGGGGCCTCCGTCAAGATAACGATAGAGAAAACTTACGGGGTTCCTTTTGTGCCAGGCGCTGTGCCCAGCGTTTTATGTGTATCAACTCATTTGCTCCTCATCACAACCCTCTCTCTGGGATGGGTAACAGGGTCTTCGGTTTATTTTTTTCTTTTTTTTAAATGAGAATACAGGCACAGAAGAATCCAGTTGATTCGGGCTGCTATAACAAAATACTGCAGGCTGGGTATCTCATAATCTGAAATGTGTTGGTCACAGTTCTGAAGTCTGTGTGTGTGTGCGTGCTTAGTTGCTCAGTCATGTCCAACTCTTTGTGACCCCATGGACTTTGCCTGCCAGGCTTCTCTGTCCCATGGGATTTTCCAGGCAAGAATACTGTAGTGGGTGGCCATTTCCTCCTCCAGGGGATCTTTCCAACCCAGGGATCGAACCTGCACTCCCTGTGTCTCCTGCATTGCAGGTGAATTATTTATCCACTGAGCCATCTGAAGTCTGGAAGTCCAAAATCAAGGCAGGGTCAAGTTCTGGTCAGAGGTCTCTTCCTGGTTCATAGCTGCACCATCTTGCTGTGCCCTCTCTCGGCGGAAGGCATGAGGGATCTCTCTGGGGTCTTTTCTGTAAGAACATTAATCCTATCCATGCTCTACCTTCCTGATCTAATAACCTCCCAAATGCCCCTAACTCTTAACACCATCACATTAGGATTTCAATGTGGCTCTGAGGGGACAGAAACGTGCAGACATAGCAGAGGTTAACTAACTTGTTCAAGGTCCCATCTCAGGAGACACCGGTTCAATCCCTGGGTCCGGGAGGTCCCCTGGAGGAGGTCATGGCAATCCAATCCAGTATTCTTGCCTGGAGAATCCCATGGACATTGGAACCTGGGGGCAACAGTCCATAGGGTCGCAAAGAGTCACGCACAGTCTGGCTGCAGTATCTGGCCTCTCAACCGCTAGTCTGTCCAGTAGCTTCTCTCTGGGCCTCCCTCCAACCCCGCTCACAACAGGTAAACTTCCATCGCATATTCAGTCTATGCAAAACACTGGCCAAGCCCACACAGGCTTGGAGGAGGGAGCTAGGGGTTCCAGCTGAGGCATCTACAGCGCCCTCTTCTGGTCACTCTGCATCCCTGCAGACTAACGGGTGAGCGGTCGTTCCTCACTTGGCCTTTGAGCCAGTCTGCTGAAGTCAGCCTTGAAAGAGAGGAAGAGGAAGGGACAGGCAGGGAAGAAGTGGGGACACAATCAGAAAACTCTGCTCTCCAGCTAACTCCTCTGCCTTTCTCCCACTCTGTGGCCTTTTTGGAGTGGAAGGGGCTGGGGCGGAGCTAATCTCAAAGAGGCTTAAAGGAGAGCAGATGGTTTTATGAAGTTGTAACCTAAGAAGGAAATTCAGTGTATGAGGTCTCTACCTTCACGATCTAATAACCTCCCAAAGGCCCCTAACTCCTAACACCATCACATTAGGGTTTCAACAATGGATCTGAGGGGACACATACAGAGCGGATGTAGCAGAGGTTAATTAACTTGTTCAAGGTCCCACACCTGGAAAATGGCAAAACTGGATTTGAACCAGGCTGCCTGGCTGGCTCCCCTGGTGGCTCAGTGGTGATGAATCTACCTGCAACGCAGGAGACTTTTCACTCTGGATTTCTCTCTCACTGTTCTCTGGCCAGTGGAGAGACTGGCCATTTCATCTAAATTGACTGATCCTGAACTGCTCTGCAGTCCCGCAAGTGAGTGATGGGACAGCAAGCAAGGCTTGAAGGCAGGTGGGCAGGCTGGAGCCTTCATTAGAAGTGTGACTTAAGACTATGCCTCTGAGCCTGGATGTCCTTGCCTGTAAAGTGAAAATCGGAATCCCTGTCTCATGAGATGGCTGGGAAAGGGAATTAGAAAGCTGAAAGCCATGTGTGAAATAAATAGCACAAAATAAGTGCAGGATACTTATCCAAGCTCTATGTGCAGCATTTATTTCATGGGCAAATCTAAGGTGGGGCTTCCCTGTAGTTCAGACAGTAAAGAGCCTGGCTGCAATGCAGGAGACCCGGGTTCGACCCCCGGGTTGGGAAGATTCCTTGGAGAAAGGAAAGGCTACCCACTCCAGTACTCTTGCCTGAGGAATCCCATGAACAGAGGAGCCTGGCGGGCTGCAGCCTGTGGGGCCGCACAGAGTAGGACACAGCTGCGAGACAACACTGACCTGAGGAGATGAAGTTGTGCCGCCTCCAGTGGGCTTCAGAGGAGCCGGAGACCCTATGACATCTCTGTGCCCCTTGCCTAAGATGGCCAGAATGTTAGTCCCTTGGTGGTTGGCTCATTTTCAGCACTGATATCTTCTTTTGATGATATCTAATAAGAGCTCTTGCAGTTAAATTCACCATTGGGGCCCATTCTAAATTCCTGTTAAAAAGCACCACCATCCTCTTAATCACTCAAGTGGAAAAAACTCAGGCTGCCTTTAACTCTTCCTCTCAGCCCATCTCCAGTAAGAACGAGGATCAGGTCTGAAAGTCAAACTTTGGGCACTTCTCTTCTCAGCTCCCTCTGCTGGATCCCTGGTTCCCTGGTTCTCCTCATGTGAATTGTGCTGCCATAGCCTGATTAATCCCTCAATCATTACCTTGCTTTCTCTTAGCCACCCCCCACCTTGATCCACTTCATAATACTGCAGCCGGGCTTTGCTTCCTACACCACAACTCTTGCTTACATTTCTCCTTTAATTTCAAATCCATACCCGATTCCCCATTGCATTTAATTTAAATTAAATGCAAATTCTTTCCTTAATGAATTTTATACATGCCCCATGAGTCTCTTTCACAATTTCGTGTTCCAGGCATTCTTGACTCCTCATAGCTCAAACTCTCTTTTTTATCTTTTTTTTGGAAGGAGATGGGATGGAAAGAGATGTTTGCTCCTTCTCAAGAAATGCTATGCATTCTGATTGCTATGCCCTTGTTGACTTGCTCCTTCCATGGGCTGTTCACTTCTCCTCCCTATCCCTCCTTCCCCTCAGTCTACCTGTCCCTGAAGACCTAGGTAAAATGCCACCTTGATCAGGAAACTTGCAGATTCAGAGAGCCTTCCAGTGACCTGCCTCCTGTTCACACAGAGCTCCAGAGCAAGATCAAGCTGACCCTGCTGGAAGGAGACATTCTGGATGAGCAGTGCCTGAAAGGGGCCTGCCAGGGCATCTCGGCGGTCATCCACACTGCCTCTGTCATTGATGTCAGGGATGCTGTCCCGCGAGAGACCATCATGAATGTCAATGTGAAAGGTACAGGGTCCTGGGGAGGAGCTGGAGGGAGATGGGCCAGTGAGGATCAGAAGCCAGGATAAGAGAAGGGGAGCCTGGTGAACACCTGCTGGGTGGACACCAAGCGTTTTCACTCATCACCACCAACAGAGATTCCTGGTGGCTCAGAGAGTAAAGAATCTGCCTGCAACTTGGGAAACCCGGGTTCAATCCCTGGGTCGGGAAGATCCCCTGGAGGAAGAAATGGCAACCCACTCCAGTATTCTTGCCTGGAGAATTCCATGGACAGAGGAGCCTGGTGGGCTACAGTCTGTGGAGTCGCAAACAGTCAGATACAACTGAGCAACTAACATTTTCACACACTTTCTTACAATCACCAGAGATTCACAGCCATCATCCTCAGTTTTTTAGATGAGGAGACTGGGGCTGAGACGGGCTAAATAACTTGTATAAGGCACTATGGAGGGAAGTGAAAGGGCTAGAATTTAAACCCATGCCTCTGTAAGTCCAAAGGCCACAAAAACCTTTCTGCTCGTCCAATCAAGTGTTGACTCAACTCCAACCTCAAACTCTTGTTCTCCGACCACCTCCTGCCTCCACTGTGTTGAAGCCAGGACTTACAAGTGTTTCCTTGGTCATCACATTAGCCCTTCTGTGTGGCTATAAGGCAGGGGTCACAGTACGGCCAAGAACTAACTAACAGCTTTGTGATACGAGGTGCCCCCAGGTCAGGAGTGATGGGCCGCAGCTCTGGGCTGGTTCCCTTCAGGCAAGACTTCTGCAAAGGAAGAATCATAAGCGTAGTGAGAATGTTGAGAGGACTTCTGCTCACCCCCGAAAAGAATTCCTCACAAGAAAACTGCCAAAGCTGGTTCACAGTGGTCTGGCAGTACAGAATTAGCAGCTCTGATCTTCCTGTAATATCTTCTTAATAAGACTTGTTTTACTCTATCCATAAACCATCTCTTCAGCTCACTTGTGCAGTTGCTCAGTTGTGTCTGACTCTGCAACCCCATGGACTGCAGCATGCCAGGTCTCCCTGTCCTGCACTATTTCCCAGAGTTTGCTCAAACTCATGTCCACTGAGTCAGTGATGCTATCCAACCATCTCATCCTCTGTCACCCCCTTCTCCTCCTGCCCTCTATCTTTCTAGCATAAGGGTCTTTTCCAATGAGTCACCTCTTAACATCAGGTCACCAGAGTATTGGAGCTTCAGCTTCAGCTCACTACCAGGTCTTTTTTTTTTTCCGTTCATTTTTTTGGCGGTGCCACATGGTACATGGAATCTTAGTTCTCTGTCCAGGGATCAAACCCATGCCCTCCTGCTTTAGAAGTGGACCACCAGGGAAGTCCCACCAGGTCTATTATTGAAGAGTAGCTCAGGTGTCTAAAGAATAGCATCTTAAGCATCCCTTAAATGCTTCCTGGCTCTCTCTGAACTGTGGATTTCCAATCTACTTTAAATCTAGACACTTTACTCAAGGGGTTAGCTTAAATCCCTTATCAGCTTGCTGTGTAGTATCCTCCTCTGATCCCTGGAGGCCAGTCTCTCTAGGACCACAGCATCCCAACCCCCAGCACATCTGCCTTCCACCTGACCACCAGAATTAGTCTACTCAGAGACTATTTTTCTAAAGCAACTCTTTGCTTTTGCATCTCTGGCCTAAAATCACAGTCTCAAAAAAGACCCTTTCTAGTTTTTCCTTAGCCATACCCCTAGTTACCCCCACACTGCCAGGAGAGTGCTAACGGGTCTTGAGTTTTCAGCTCCCCTAATCCATAATTGCCTACTCTCCACAGCTCCCAACAAAAGGGGATTTGAAATCCCTGGGAAGAGTTAGAGGCCTCCATTGACTAAAACTAGTATCACTGTATCACTCTCTGGTTTAGAAAATGCTTCACAATCGTGGTATTTTCTTCTTGTGCAATTTACGTGAGTGCATGCTCAGTGGCTCAGTCGTGTCCTATTCTTTGCCCCCATGGACCACAGCCCACCAGGCTCCTCTGTCCATAGGGTTCTCCAGGCAAGAACACGGGAGTGGGTTGCCATTTCCTTCTCCAGGGGATCTTCCCGACCCAGGGATCAAATCTGTGTCTCCTGTACATCCTGCATTGGCAGGAGATTTTTTACCATTAGCTCTGAATTATCTCTGCTTTTAGATTTAAGTTTTTTTAATGAGGCTGTCTTTCCTGAAAATCAAATTGCACAAAGACATTAAAAGGTTTTTTAAAAAAAATACCACTCCAAAATGATCTTTTTTCCAGGAAATCATTTCTTTCCTGTGGGGAAGACTCTGGGTTACCTCTAGGAGCTGAAATTCTCCCCAGGTTAAGGAATTCTACAAGATCCTCCCATGACATATATTACCAGCAGAGGGCGCACTCCTTTCTGGTTCTTCACCAGGCTCAACACATAAGGCCATTGACAGGCTCCAGAAGACTAGTATTGATAAAAGGTTTACCACCCCAGCTTTTCATACCTCGGTAAAAGGAGTCATAGCCAAAATTAGGAATGGCCTTTGCAAGAAGCAAAATCAGAAACACAGTCCAGATCTCCAGCTTCTCCCCAGAACCCACCATTCATTTGCTCAGTGACAAAATGTCCTTGTGACAATTTTTTATTGGTCTTCAAAAAAAGATAAGAAAATACCAACAATTCAATGTATTATAAGAGTATATATTACTTGCATCTTGCCTGGACAATCCCCTGGACAGGGAGGCTGGTGAGCTACAGTCCATAGGATGACAAAGAGTTGGACACAACTGAAGCAACTTAGCATGCACGCTCGCATTACTTACATACAACTCTGTGTGTGTGTGTGTGTGTGTGTGTGTGTGTGTGTGATATGAGTCCTTCAGCTGTCCTCCTATGGACCAGAGTTGTCCCTGTTCTAAGAGTATGGCCCCCTAATCTTTTAAGTTTACAACAGCTGTCTTTAGGACTTTCCTGGTGACTCAGATGGTAAAGAAGCCATCTGCAATGCAGCAAACCCAGGTTCAATCCCTAAGTCGGGACAATCCCCTGGAGAAGGAAATGGCACCCACTCCAGTATTCTTGACTGGAGAATTCCATGGATAGAGGAGCCCGGCAGGCTACAATCCATGGGGTTGCAGAGTCGGACATGACTGAGTAACTAACACTTTCACTTTTTCATTTCAGCCCACCTTTAATGAGGTGCTGGAGATGACAAATGATCATTTTTAAATCTCTTTACTCTGCAAAATATAAAGTGACAACTCGCTCTTTTCCAACATTAAGAGTACAAACATGTTCCATGTAAATCCCCAAAGTCCATGAAATCCAAATGCTTGCAGTCCAGAACCCAAGTCTTGTTCTCCTTTCATTTTTTCATTTCTGCTTTTGTCCTATGGCTTTAGCATGGTTGGATCTTAGCCAGAGACAATGCACTGCTCAGATGTAATAGCCACTGCACTTCCGGATGAGGGGCAGACACGGTGCATGGCAGGGCTGGGCCTGGGCTGTGTCCGGACACTGACGCTGTGCTTCCTTCGGGCAGGTACCCAGCTGCTGTTGGAGGCCTGTGTCCAGGCCAGCGTGCCGGTCTTTATCCACACCAGCACCATAGAGGTGGCTGGGCCCAACTCCTACAGGGAGATCATCCAAGATGGCCACGAAGAAGAGCATCATGAATCGGTATGGTCCTCCTCATACCCATACAGCAAGAAGCTTGCCGAGAAGGCAGTGCTGGGAGCTAATGGGTGGGCTCTGAAAAATGGTGGCACCTTGTACACGTGTGCCTTGAGGCCCATGTACATCTACGGGGAGGGGAGCGCATTCCTTTCTGCCTTCATGCACGGAGCCTTGAAGAACAACGGCATCCTGACCAATCACTGCAGGTTCTCCAGAGTCAACCCAGTCTATGTTGGCAATGTGGCCTGGGCCCACATTCTGGCCTTGAGGGCCCTGCGGGACCCCAAAAAGGTCCCAAACATCCAAGGACAGTTCTACTACATCTCAGATGACACGCCTCACCAAAGCTACGATGACCTCAATTACACTTTGAGCAGAGAATGGGGCTTCTGCCTGGATTCGCGGATGAGCCTTCCTATTTCTCTGCAGTACTGGCTTGCCTTCCTGCTGGAAATAGTGAGCTTCCTGCTCAGTCCAATTTACAAATATAACCCCTGCTTCAACCGCCACCTAGTGACTCTTTCAAACAGCGTGTTCATCTTCTCCTATAAGAAAGCTCAGCGAGATCTGGGATATGAGCCCCTCTACACTTGGGAGGAAGCCAAACAGAAAACCAAGGAGTGGATTGGCTCCCTGGTGAGACAGTACAAGGAGACCCTGAAAACAAAGATTCACTGACTTAGGAGTGACAACGATGGGAATGTGGACATGTGGGTATGGTTAGCAGATGTCTATCGAGCGCTCCCCTTGAGACTTCATACAGAAAGTAACACAGACACAAGCCTGCGTCCTCCTGCCTCCCTTTTAGAAGATGCTAATCTGCCTTCCGCCTCCAGAAACTGTGTCTTTCGCTGGCCCAAGTGGAAGCTTTCTTCCCTACCCGCCTCCAGGGGACAGACAAGGTGATTTGCTGCAGCTGCTGATACCAAAATCTCAGTGACAGATTCTGAGTTATTTGGGCTTCTTTTAACTTCGAATTTTGCCTCTTAGCTCCACTTTCTTTGTTAAATGTGAAAGCATTTCTTTTAAAAGTTCATATTCCTTCATGCAGCTCAATAAACATGATCAACGTTTTCATGACTCATCGGGAGGAAGTTGTGGTTTACGTAAATACATTCTCTTTTGTTCTCCCCTCCATTTCCAGATATCAGCCTTTTCTATTCAGAAAAGCAGCGTGGGACCGGGTTGGGCAGAGTGTTGGGAGGTGGACAGCAGGGTTGACGAGGACTTACTATGTTTCAGGCACCTACTGAATGACTCACATATATCACTTATTTAACCCTCACCAGAAACCTACGAGGTAGGGATGACTGACTATTCCCTTTTATGAATAAAGAAACATGCTCACAATCACACTAACTAGTGAGAGACTGGGACATTTAACCCAGATAAACTTGAGAACCTTATCTGCCACTGAAGTGTGTCTGCTGCTGGCGAATGAGCTGCTAGGGTGCAGCGGGAACACTGGACATGGGGTATGGATTCTTGGGAGTGCCCAGATCTCTTGGGTCACCTCCTTCTTGCCTGGTCCTGTGCAGGAGACACCCTAGGGCCAAGGAGAGCCCCTCACGGAATCTGGGAGGTTTCCCTACCCTTGGCAGCTGGAAGGAGAGAGAGACACAGAGGTGCAGCCAGCTCCACGGCTAGTGCCAGCATCCTTGAAGGTCCCTAGAACACACTTGGATGTATGTGTGTCTTGGCCACTCCAGTAACTCAGAAGCCAATAATCCAACGTTCTTTCAAATAATCACACAATGAAGCCACATGACGGGGTCCCAAACAAGTAAAGGGAACAGATGTGAATGTCCCTGAAAATGTCTCTCCCACTCAGTGCCAAAGTCAAGGTTTAGCTCCTCCAGATTTAGCTCCTGCTCCTCCTCCTCTTCCCTCCTCTTCCCCATCTCTCCCTCACCCTGACTCCTCTCTTCCCTCCCCTCTCTCAGCCTCTGTCCCTTTCCTCCATCTCTCCCGAGCCTCTAGCCCTCTCATCCTTCTCAGTTTCCCCAAGGAAGGGAGGCCAATCGAGACATGTTTGGGGACTTAAATGATGACACGTTCATTAACTGATTGGAGGACAAGCAGTCAAAAGAGACACTGTCAGACCATCAAGGACCATGTGACCCAAAGCAGGAGAGGAGGTGGCCCTGGGGGTCCGGGGCGGGGAGGTGGGGCTGTCTCTTCTAGCCCAGGGGGTCGCCTGTCTTTGTGAGCCACGGCCACAACAAGAGTCACGCCCAACACCAAGATGGCCTCTCTCTTACCCAGGGAATTTGCAGATTATGAATTGAGTTGAATTTGATGACCCCGAAGATGGTTTAAGTATTCACTCTTAAGGAGAAAAGGGAAAAAGCACTCTGGCTGGGAGAAACGGGTTTCTATCAACCTTAAAAACCCTAAAGGGGGGAAAAAAAAAAAAAAACCAAGGGACAGAGGATCAGCCCTGGAAGATCAGTAAATGGTCCCAGGGGTGAGACAAAGTGAGAGATGGAACACCCGCTTCCTGCCTTCCTCCAGGACACAAAACACAAGAGGCAGCCTCTGTCCAGCCGGGTAAGATGTGCAAACCCTCATATGTTTATGCCGATCAGGAAGGAAGGAAAGGAGGGTGGTGGAGTCTGAAACAAAAGTTCCCTCCGGCCGTTTTCAGTCTCGTGAAATCCCACAAACATAAACCCGCCAGAGCTGTCCTCCCAGGGGAGGGAGGTGGCATTGTTACCAAAGGGCAGGCGGGGTTTGGTGTGAGAGAAGAAAGAGGAGAGCGGATCTGGCCGGCTGTTGGTCTCCACTGAATAAGCTAGAGAGACCTGGGAGTGCTTTGCGGACACTGGGCTCCCTGACACCCGCGCGGGGTGGGCCGAGCTCGCGCACAGGAGCCCTCGGTGCACTACAGGGAAGCACCGCACGGGGGCAGCAGAGACCCGGAGGGAAGAAGGAAGCCGCCCCGCCGCCCCGCTCCCCGCCCCGCCCGCCCCGCTCACCTGGGTGACTGCGAGGGGTACGGCTGAATGAGTGGACGCAAGCCAGCCACGTGCTCAGCCACCAGGTGACTGCTCTGGATACTGGGTCTGCAGAACGGAGCGGAACAGAAGTTATTGGGGAAAAGCCTCAAGGACGAGGTGGGACCGCAGCTAGGTCTTGGAGGAGAGAGCTGGGACTTAGGCAGGAACTGAGTGAGGTGGTCCAGGCAGCGGGAAGCAGCTGAAAAGCGACAAAGGACCTGGAGGGGCTGGAGGAAGGCAGACCACACAGCTGTGGTGGAAACTGCAGGACAACTACAATATTCCCAATTACTTTATTAACAAACAGATGAGGACAATGACAAAACCCAACCTCACAGTTTCTCCTCTCACAAGAAATCCCAAATAGCCCCCAAAGCGGCAAAATCTGAGAGCTCTGGGATTGCGACCTACCTTCTCCCTGAAGGCCTGAATGCTTGTAGGCAGCCTGGCCCACCCCAGAATGGATGGAGCAATTTAAGTCTGCATCACACTTCACGTGTACTCTAGATTTTTTTCTGCAGAAATTTCAGTGTGTTTAATGACAAGGTGCTAACCTGGATCTTGCTGGGGTGTACTGTAATATATGATACATACTCTTATTACCTTGTTAAAATCCAAAAGAAATCTGAATTCAAAAATATATCTAGCCCTGAGGGTTTTGGATAAAAGAATGGGAACCTCAACCAGCAAAATTACGAACCAAGTATGTCCTAACACACTTTATCTGAGTGTGTGTGCGCTCAGTCGTTCAGTCCTGACTCTTTGCAGACCCATGGACTGTAGCCTGCCAGGTTCTGCAGCCCGTCTGTGGGGTCTCCTAGGCAAGAATACTGGGGTGGGTTGCCACTTCCTCCTCCAGGGGATCTTCCCGACCCAGGGATCAAACTTACATCTCTTATGTCTCCTGCATTGGCAGGCAGGTCCTGTAGCGCTAGCACCACCTGTGCCTGCTAAGCCGCTTCAGTCATGTTGAACTCTTTGTGAACCTATGAACCGTAGCACATCAGGCTTCTCTGTCCATAGGATTCTCTAGGCAAAAATACTGAGGTGGGTTGCCATTCCCTCCTCCAGTGACTCTTCCCAACTCAGGGATCGAACCTGCATCTCTTTCATCTCCTGCATTGTCAGGCAGGTTCTTTACCCCTAGTGCCATCTGGGAAATCCCATATATATAATCCAAAAGTAGGTACGCTTATTATCCTAGCCTGATATATGAGGAGATGGAGACAGAGAGGTCAAGAACTTGCTCAAGGTCATTCAGCAAGTTGTGGTTCAGTTCCAGTAATAAAAAGCTTTTGACTTCAAAGCTCTTACATAAAGATGGCAAACTCACATGCCTGCAGGAGCCAGGTACCATGTGTAAGTGAAGCAGGCAAGAGCTAAGAGGCCTCAGGGAGTGGTGGGGAGTGTGGTATGCAGGGCAGCACATACTTCATCTCAGGGGGGTAGCAGTCACAGACCCCCCTCCCATGACTCAAGTGGGAATATACCCCAGATCACCAGATCTTCTGACTCTTCAAGGAAAGCAAAGCTTCCTAATTTTTTTTGTGAAATCTTTTGATTTCTAAATACTGTCAACTAATTCTAAATTTTAAAAACAGTGTGAAGACCAGTTCTGGGAATGGGACCAGTGTGGGTTCATGTGAGCATTTTATGTGTAATAGCTTATTTCTTTAAAAATGGGCAGTGAGGTGTTGAAGGCAATCTGTTCATTTTTGGCGCAGGCCTCGAGTATACATAACATTATCTTTTGTACTTTTCTGTATGTTTGATATAGGTTATAATTTTTAATACATTTAATTTTTATTTTTAAAAAGTTCAAAATAACAAAACACATCTGTGGGCTGGACTGACACCTAAGGCTTCTGGTTTTGCATCTCTGCTCTCAGTCTACTGGAAGCAATAAAATAGGAGGCATGGTCAGTTCCGTGCACAGTAAAATGTACCAAGTGCCCTTAGAAAGGTAAAATGGTTTTGGAGGGTCCTTTCTGGGTAGGGTACTCCACAGAGCCTTTGCACTGGGGATTGATGTTGACAGATGGGTAGGCCGTCAACAGGCAGAAATGTGGGGGGATGTATGCCAGCCAGAGGCGATAGAGACAGGAAAGATACAGAGGTGAGAGAGGGAAGTCATTTTCAGGCAGCGAAGAGACCAGTGTGTAAAGACCAGATGCGGGAGAGAATGGAGGACACACCTGGAAAAACTTGATGGGTTACCTTGGGTCACCTGTAGGAGACTGCCTTCTTTCCCCTTCCAGGGACCATTTGACATTTAACTACATGTCACGTGCCTCACCTTCTCTGGAAAATTAGACTCTTTAAGAACAAGGAGCATGTCTCCATACCTGCCACCTCTCCCCACGCCCCTCAACAACAAATATCAGCAGTCAGACTATGGAGTGTGGAGATTATTCAATATGCAATGGGAAACCACTGAAGATTCTTGTTCAGCTGTCCCTGGACGATTACTTTGGCAGCGATGTGTAGGATGATTGGAAGAGATTAAAAGGCTACTTCAAGAATGTAGGCAAGAAATAAAGGCTTGATTTATGTAGTGTTAACAAAGGGAACACACAGGGCAGCTGAGGCCAGCCTGAGGCAGAACAGACACTACTTTGGGCAAGGCCTGAGTGAGCACCCCGTGTACCCACTTTCTGAAGCCAGAGACCTCAGTGGCCTTCCCTTACTCTCCCTCCAGCCTATCATTCAGTCTTATCGGCTTCACCTCCCGAAGCTGTTGCCTGCCTCCCTGGTAACCCAGCCTGGGTCAGGCCTCCCTGCCTCAGAGTCATTAGCCGTGAAATTCATTCTCGGTAGTTTTGCCAGAGTTATCCATCCAACATAAAAACTGACCATGTCACTCCCTTCCATGAAACCATCCAGTGAAGGAGCCTCAGGACTCCTAGGATAATCCTGAGTGTCTTAGGACAACATAGAAAGCTTCTCAACAGACTGGTGGTTGCCAAGATGGGAGGAGGAGGGGGAGGATAACTGGTTAGCAGATGTAAGCCTTTATATATAGAAAGGATAAACAACACGGTCCTATTGTAGAGCCCAGAGAACTGTATTCAATATCCTGTTGCTACCAAAC